AGCAGGCCTGCACAGATGCCGGGGAGAGACCATGTGTGCCAAGTCATGGAACCCAGGCGGAACTTCAGCAACTTGCACAACACCAGCCAGCACTTCCTGGCCAAGGCATCTTCGCACTGAAGCTTCTCCTCAGTGAGCTCACTCCTGGTTCTTGCACTGCGACTCATCTCGAACCCCATCCTGGACAGCAGTGTGAGATTGCTGAGCACGGCGATCTGCTGCTGGGCAATCTCCAGGAAGCTCCACTGACTCCACTTCTTAAAGTGCTCCCGGCAAGCAGCTGCACTTCGCATGCTGGCCAGCATCTGCCCGCTGTCGTCGCTCTCTGGTTTCTGCAGGTAGAACAGCATACGAGCCAAGTTCTTGTTCACGGGGTCGTTTATCCACTTGCAGTACAGGTGCAAAGTGTTTCTTGTCTTTGATCGCATGTTGTTCAGGGCTTCCTTGGCCTCTTTCTTGGCTGTGGCGGCAGAAACCGGCGGTTGCTCCTTCAGGATAGCTGCCACTGCTCCTGCCGGGGCCCACAACTCGTCGGCGAAGTCGACGAACTTCTGAGTGAGGCACACCACGGTCAGGATCAAAGCGAAACTGCTCCAGTGTTTGTCGAGGTGATCCTGTGAGTGCTGCAGTGAGTTGAAACGGCTCATACTCGCCTTGGGTCCCTTGGACTTGACGATGGGGGAGTTTGGAAGCTCTCGCAGGTACTGCCTCCGCCTGGCTTCGTTGTTGTTGTCCAGGCTCTCTCCCAAGTCCAGGAGGATGTCATCGAAGAAGAGCTTCAGCAGGTCATCGTTGGGACTCATGCCCTCGTGCATCTCTCTTGCTGCATCCACCACCTGCTCATGAAAGCCTCCCTTCTGAAAAGGCCCATACTGCAAGTTGTACAGGCCCACTGCATGGCAGGCTTGCTTCAACACGCCAGCCTGTCCCAGTGCCAGGGTGGTATCGTTGGACCTCCTGTGCTGAGGATCGTATGTGTGCTCGATGCATGCATTCAGGTGCCATCTGAGGAAGTTCGTAGCTGCAATCTGTGTGCCCTCTTGGTCCGTAGTGATCACCAGAGTTGGCGGCTGCTCGCTTTGCTTGATGTCCTCCTCGCTGATAAAGAAATCGCTGAGAGAGGAGCCCAGCCACTGCATGCTGTGATTGATGTCTAACATCCACTGCATCGTGGCTACTCGCACGGGCTCTACTGAGGACTTGTCCCTGAGTCTTTTCCTTCTGTTGTTCAGGGTTTCGTCGTCTCGGTTCTTCACGAACTCAGCTACCCTCCTCTTCCAGGATTGCTGGTTGCCAGCAGGGCCGCTGTTCTCCTTGAGCTTTTTCAGGACCTGTCAACACGGGCTGGGGTCTGGCACTGTGAACACATGGGGTGACACGATGGCTTCTCTCGTCCATGGTTGTCTTTAATTCCTTTGTTACGTGTTTTTGGGCGATGTTTTAATGCATGTCTGCTGCACGAGCGCCCAAGCGACGAGGAATTTGACAAACGGCTCCCGAGCGCACAAGAGATGAGGAATTCGACGTGCAAAACGTGCTCCCCGGAGCTCAAAAACAGGCCCATTTTTTAGTTCAAAAAGTGGCCGCCCGCAGCCCGCAGAAGCGCCGAGGAATTCGACAAAGATTATAAACAGGACAAAAAACAAAAGGTATGAGGAATTCGACGTGCAAAAACGGAGCCAAAACAATCTAAAAAACAGGCCCGAACCGAACGCCAAAGCGCCGAGGAATTCGACCTGCCAAACCAGTCCACATGTCAGCCTCTTCATGTCTGTTTTAGGGCTGTCTCTTGGCAAGTCCAGGCCTGTGGTGGGCAGATGCCGCTACAGCCTGACTGGAGATCACAGGCCACCGTGTTCAGCAAGCTGTAGCTGCCGACCTGCACACCATCAATGCAAAGCGAGAGCCGCCGAACTTTCCGGAAATGCTTGTGCAGCTCCAGACTGTAGCTGTATCGCTCCATGGTCACCAGGTCGGAGCCCTTCTGTCTGTCCTTGCAGGCCTGTGCCTGCGAGGCCAATACGGTACTTGCCGACCGCAGGTGTTGTTTCGAGGTCTGGTCCACCACAGATTTTTTCTGTGAGCCGCTCAAGCGCCTTTTGCCTCCGGAAGTCCTGGAGTTCTGCTTATAGCTGTTACTTTCGGCATGAGTTGGAGTTTCAACAAGAAAATAGCATGTTCTGCCAGCTAAGTGTCTTCAAAGGCTGCATGTGCCACAGTTCGGTCTCGGTCCAAACATCTTCCAATCGACTTCCTTCGAAAAGATCGGCCAAGGCCTTGCATAAAACAGCCACAGCTAGCTCGTAGGCTTTCCGCTTCGCCAGCCTGTGTCCCACGACTTCCTGCTGGCAGGCTGTCTGCATGAGCTCCACCATATCAATCCAAGGGTAGCCCTCCTCAACAATGTCTTGGATGCTCCGCAATGCACTGCAAGACTCCACCAAATTCGGCACATGAACCTGGAGACTGTCCTCCTGCACTCGCACTTCCACTGCGGCCTTTGGCAGACACACCGTCTGAGCAGCACGAACGAAAATCCGAGCGAGAGCTCGGAGCAGCATGGTTGCTTTTGCAGCCACAATCTCCGCACCCGCCTTCCAACCACTCCTCGAGCTGATCTTTCTGCAGGACAGATGCAACAGAAAGACCAGCATCATCATCATGGACATGGTGTACTCTCCTGCAGGCGAAGTTTCCAGCGACCCGCTGCTCTTTCGTCTCACCGGCCGGAGCGGCCCATCGTCTCCGGCCTCTGCCTCTGCCTCGTCGGCCTCCTCGTTCTCGTCCAGGGATGCTTCCGAAGCCTTCCTCTTGATCTTGTTTCTCACTGTTTGGGAATGCTTGCTTGTCATTATTTCGGAACGCCTGCTTTTCGTCAGATGCTTGTCCGATATCTGCTTGATATCTGCCTCGGTCAAGCCAGGTGTGGTGGCTAATGCTTGCAGGTAGCCCATCAGCTTGTTGCTGAGGGATTGCGATACATGGCTTGAGAAATTGTGGTCTCTATGGCCTCCGAGGAAGGATACCACCCACCTCGTGTGCCAAAAGCAAGTACCCGTTGATAATTCGCCCACCACCCTGGGTACTTTGTGGATCGCGATCTCGGCCCGGAAGAGATTGCCTTGGTGGGTTTCCATGGTGAGGGCGCTGCCGCGAATGTCCTGGGAGCACTGTTCCCAGGATGTGGCGAGGCCCGTGCTGTGTTCCAGCAGTTCGTTGTCCTGCTTGGAGTACCGCATAATGGAAGCGACAGCTTCTTCTTTCTGCTCACCATCCTCGTCAGTGTACTTCAGCACACTGCCCTCTGCAGTCTGCTGTATCTCGAAATCCGTCCACGCTGTGGAGTCTGGTAGTGCGACTAGCTCTCCTGTCACTGTGTTGTGCAGAGCGAGTCCTTTGCTGTATCTTCGAAAGTGCAGGTCTTCTTCAATGTCGAATATACCTGCCATGGCTCGGGAAAGCAGGAATCCTGCTAACCCTAGCCCAACACTGCTCACCAAGGTGCAGATAATCGGAAATGTGCTGGATTCAAAATCAGTGCAGCATCTAAGTCACCGATGCAGAAAGCCGAGGTCTTTCTTTCGCTTGCTCTCCCCGTCACGGCTGCAGAAACCCCTGGAGCAGGTTCCCTAACCAGCTTGTGTCGCAAGACACATGCTGGATGGAACTGCTGCAACTGCTTGCTACAAGACTTCCACGGAAACAGAAATCAGAAAGTGGACAGAGGTTCTCCCCTATCGGACGATAATTGGCATGGATGCAGAGCAGAGCAAGTCACCTTGAACACTGGCCCCGTTACTCTAGAAAATGCAGAGTGCTGTCTGTCTGTAGACTCCGTGCTTGACCCTGCTCCACCTCACAAAACAAGCCTACGTCTCAGCGGCATTCCTGGAAACTGGGCCAAAGGTGCGAAATCTGCTGGCCTCCCCATCTTGGCCAGTGACGCAGACTACAGCCTGCGAGCTCACTGCTCCTGCCGGCGGTTCTTCGTCATACTTCCACGTGTCGTCAGGGTTCAAGTCCTTCAGCTCCTTGTCAAAGAAACTTGCACAGATCAGGCTCATGGCATCGTTGGTGGAGCTCTGAACCACAGCCTCGAACTCGTGCTCCGACGAGAGGACCCAAGTGCCTTCGTGCAGCTTCGGCAGCGGCACCTTCTTGCCCAGGAACCCGCACCCGAGATGCTGACCGACCTCCGTGTTTTCCAAGAAGTAGAACCGAAGCCTGCTCCTGTCTCCGTACTGGAGCTTTTGAACGGCCTGGCCGTCGGCGGCACCCAATCGCAGGAAGCCCGTCTTCTCCTGGAGGAACTTGGCTCGCAACTGAAACTGCTTGCTGAGGACGTTCTCAAAGCGGTTGTTGGGGACTGGCGGCACATTCGCTTTGCTGGACACGTGCAGGACAAAGCTGAGCACCAGGTTCAACCAGTCCACGTTGACGTCCTCCTCGTGGTCCGGGAAGGACTCGCTCTCAAACCAGTCCTCCAGCAACCTCGTCTTGGTGTCCTTGGGCAACTTGAAGAGCTTCGTCACCCTGCCCTTCACACGGAAGCCGAGGTCCTCCCCGTTCTCGTTGGCGACCTCCTCGTCGGCCAACTGCTTGGATTGCTCCGCCTCCATGGAGAGCAGCTTCTCCAAGGCACCGCTGCGAAACATGGCTGCCAGTTTTGGCATCCATGAGTCGTGCTCGGCCAACTTGGAAAACACAAAGTCCCTCTCTTCCTTGAGTGTCCTTTCGTAGTACGTGCTCATGCACTTCGCGAACTGTCCAGACACCCTGGCCTCCTTCTTGTCCTGCTTTTTGTCCTCCCGCTGCTTGGTCTTCTGGAGGGTCTTCACCAAGCGGCCACCCAAGGACTGCTTGCCGCAAACTCGACGGCCGGGCTGAGAGGCTTTGGCCTTGGCCTTGCTTCCTTTGCGAGCAGGCATGGCTCGGGTGCTGACACGACCCAACGACACAGGTCCGCTGAGAGCAGGCTAGAATCCCAACTCGAGACAAAAGTAGTGCATGATTTGCCTGCCAACTGCCATGCGGAGCACGCACTTCACGTGTTTGCTGCACACGAAGCTTCCATATTACAATGAGTCCGGCATCTTTTTTCTCTTATACATGCAAACGACGCCAAACAAATTGGATTGCATTGCAGAAATAACAAAAAAAACTAATTGAAAACTCCAACTCTGCCGCCCAGCATGCATCTGGCCTTCGCAGAAAGTCTCTGAGCTGCAGCTGTGAGACCACAGGTGCTGTCGCCTGTGATTCTTTTCAAATCTTTGAGGCCGTAAACAACACATCCGCTCTGCCCAGATTCATAGCTATCCAAGGCACGAACAACCTTTCCAAGCTGGCTCATGTGTCTGAGGATCTCTGCATCGTGGGCGAGGTGAGGCTCTACTCGCTGAAACTCTGCAAGAAGAGCACCTGACCTCTTGCGGTACTTCCTCTGCTGAGTGCTTAATCTGTCTCTATTCCCGTAGGTTTCCGAGAACTTCTGAGTCGTCCCTTCCGTGTCATAGAAGAAGCCCAAACCAATGTCACCATGCTGAGCCTCGAACTCTGCATCATGTCTCGAAACCAAAGCCCGGTCTGCCTCCAACTTTCTTTTGCCCAAGGCAAAAGCTGCCTGCAAGTCTCGCATCTTCATCACCTGAGCAGCACAAAACAACACAACATGATAAAGGCAAGAAACAACCACTGCAGGTGCAATCTTTGGGATTCGGAGATAGAACCGGGCCTCGCCACCACGTGTACGCAGGCACACGACAGTGCTTGCATCTGGCACAGAGCAAGAGGAAGTGGATTCCTGTCCTGACATGCTGGATGCCACGAGCTCTGTTGCCTGTGAACAAACATGAGAAAGGACTGCAGATGAACACCACATGCATGCAACGCCGCAAGGCACCTGCAAACAACTGGGAAGTGTCACTGCAGAAACAAAACACACCCGGTGCCCCTGTCTGCAATGCAAACTCGATTCCAAAACCATGCTGCCAGCGAGGTTCAGGGCCATCTGACAAGCTTCCTGGCCCTACACCTAGGCTGTTAGCTGCCTGCATCTTCTACCCTCCGCATCACCAGCAGCTGCAGGCTTTCCCTCAGGCTCGCCTTTGGCTTTCTTTGCCGCCGGAGCAAAGCTAAGATCAGGCCGCACGCTTTTTTTCTTTCGCACAAAATCAATGTCCATTGGCTTCAGGTGCCGCTGTGTGCACTGTGACGTCTATTTCACAGCTGCAGTAGCCTGAGAGCCATCGTTCCAGGGGGCCGCCCCAGCCGATCCGCCATCGCCGGTCCAGTCCTCCCAATCTTTCCATTTCTTGCAGTCCGGACCATCGGTGTTAGACCACCAATCCGCCGCCTCGTCCTTATCCTTCTTCTTGTCCTTGGCCTTGCCCTTGTGCTTGTCCTTCTGCCAGGCTGCCTTCTGTGCCTTCTGTTCTTTGAGGCGGCGGAACCACTCCTGGCGCTTGGAAAGGGCAGGCTGTGGAGACGTTTTCTGTGGCGTCGCCCACGGGTCCCAGAGCTCCTCACTGAGGTGCTGGCAGCTTACAGGAACACACGCCAAATTAAAACTTACAAAACACTGAACTGAAAGCAGGCCAAGTCTCGCATGCGGTGTTTACGCACTGATTCTTCCGGGTGTAGCTGACTTGGCCGCAGCGGTTGCAGAGTCTCAAGTCCAGCTCTGGAAGATTTGCAGCATCACATTCAGCTGCAGGCTTTCCCTCAGGCCCGCCTTTGGCCTTCTTTGCCACCGGAGCAGAGTACTCTTCTTCCTCCTCCATCTGGACGTCCTCTTCATCGTCCTCCGACTCATCGGCAAGAGCCTGAAGAGCCAAGCGGACTCGTGTCCGCTTGGCTCTTTGCTGAGCCTGCATGGCTTCCTGCTGCTGCAACCGATGCAAAAGCTCTTGGTTCTGCTGTTGCAACATCTGCAGAGTAGCCCCTTGAGGCTGCCCCGCAGCCTGAGACTGCGAATGCCCTGAGCCGCTCGGGCCGCTCTGCTGCTTGTTCATGAACTCGAGTAACGAGTTCATCACAGACATGAGCAGCTGAGGATCAGGGCCGGCAGAGCCACTGGCAACCTTACTTGCAAGTTTATATATTTAGTAAAGTCTCTCTGGCAGCCAAGGACCTTCCTAGTCCTACACTGCAAGAGAAACATACACTGCAAGCAAAAAGAAGTTGCTGCTGCAGCTTGAGTCACCCCCGCTGCTGCCTGCTGTGGAAGCACTACAGGAGGCTGAGGCTGATGCACATTCGCATAGCCTGGAAACGGCGGCTGGGGAGGAACCGCAATGCCAGGGACAGCAGCTTGGCTTCCCAGAATCTGCCACCCAGGAAAGCCGGGCACCGATGACCACGCCGGCACTCCAGAGGTGCCGCCGTGGTCACCAGGCGGTGTCGTCGCCATATGAGCTCCAGATCCTGCCACTGAAAAAAAAACGGCCTACAAGAATATGACTCATGTGAGTGCTTTCAAAACTTTGTCCTCGACTTGCTTTCTCTTGCTCATCTTTCTTGTCCTCCCCGCCCTGGTCGGACTTCTTCTCCGGAGGGTCGCTCTTTGGCTCCCCATCTTTGGTGCCGCTGCAGATCATCACATCCTGCACAAGCAGCTATTAACAACAAAACTTGCACTGAAAATCCTGTACCTGCTGCTACTATGTTTCAGCCTCCCGACCACAGCTTGTATCACACTTGCTCACAAAAATGTACCTTATTCTGTCCTGCAGGCACATCCAAAGCATAATACCATACATCCACAAAGCCATATTTGCTTGAAAAGGCTGTGGGGCGGATAGGTTTCGAGCTTCTTAGCTTGGAAACGGCTGCAGCAAAACACCATGCAATCGTAACAACACATGCCAACACAAGACTGGGAATAGCACTCGCTGAGACTGCCAAGGGAAACACCACATCGCAAATGCTAGCTTTCAGATGTTGGCTCTGCAGCATACATCTAGAAAGCAAGCCGTTCCCGTTCAAACACAGCACTCAGATGCTGGTGTTCACGCCCCCTTTCTCTGAGATCCTGCCAGCAACTGACTTTTGCTGTGAGGATTGTGTACACATACTATGGTCTCGTGAAGCTTAGATTCTACCTCCTGCCAGCCCTCCCGGGGCTGTGAGGAGTAAGAATCTCCCGAATCTCGAACACACTGCTGAAAAAATCAACCCCGGCCCTGAGACTGCCTCCTACCAGCAATATTCGCTGTAAGGAGTGAGTGCTGCCGGGCAATGTTTTTAATGTATCATACACTTTGCAGATTCTGGCTCACGTGATTGCATACATTTCCATCATATATTGTCGAAAAAACGATATAGTCACACGCCAAGTACTAGTAACAAATTCTGTGAAACAAGACCAACCACTCATGCAAAAACTATGAAGACTTTCGCCGGGCAATTGGACATGTTTTTGGGTGCCTGCTTGATAGGACAATACTATATAATGTATGATAATATGATTTTGACAATAGTTCCATAATCAGAGCTGTCTGAACATGTTTTTCATGTGGGTCGAAAAATACCGACCGTCGTATTCCTCATACCTGTCGTGTTCCTCATACCTTCCGGGCCCTTCTGACTTCGCACCTCATGGGATGGGGCGCAGCGACCGGAAGCGGTACGGATAGCGATGCCTCGCGACCGAGCACGACCACCGA